AATATATGATCTAAATTGTTTAATCCATTACTTGAATAATAAATTATTGATTGAGAATGTGTAAGAATTGCTTTTTTGAAATTATCTGATAAATTAAAGTTTAAACCAAAATCAATGGTTAATTGCTTTATTTGATTCTGTGCTTTGATTAGTTGAGCCAGACTATCTTCAAATTTATTATTGCATCTACCAAGTATACTTAATGTTTGAATATGTTTACAAACATCTGCTAATTTATCAATAAATATATTACTAATATTATCACAATAAACTAATTTATTAAGATCCTGGAAATTATTACCAAATCTATAATAATTAAATTTCAGATAAAAATCTATATCTAAAGTACTAAACTCTCTAATAGCTGCTGAATGATCTAAAGTAAAATTTAATAATCTATTTTTCAAAATATCCAAGTTGGAAAAATTTGCCAACAATTGAAAATCATAACAATTGAAATAAAATCTAGTACAAAATTTAGCATAATTATATAATGGTGATTTATCCAATAACTTAAAAGTCAATTTAATGTTATTTCTTGTTAAAAAATCCTTATCTTCCTCCAACAAACAATTAATTATTATCTTGATGCTGTTTTTAGAATAAAATGGATTTTTCCATAAAATTGGAATATTAATATTATGCCATTGTTTATTGACAAGAATGCAAGAATATAATGTTTTGTAATCATAGTCATTGTATTTAAATATTGCAGTTAAAAGTTCAAGTGGTAAAGTCATTGTTAATGTAAAGAAAAAATTTTAATTTTTGTTTGTTGCACAACAAAATTTTTTTTTTTCAAAACCAATTAGTAAAAATTTACAATAATTTAGTTTAAAAATCCTAAGTTTTTTGTTAATTCACTAATTTTTGATAATCCTTGAACTTTATTGTAAAAGGTTTAGGTCCACTCCAATTATTTGTTAGGTTATCAAAAGAATTGACATTGATAGTAGAAAAATTACAATAAAACATTATTGACTTTAATTTTTTTGGTAATGTTTGATTTAGTACTGAAAATATTTTATCATCATTAAATTTATGTGTAAAAACAAATCTAAATGTAATATTTTCTAATTTAATGCAATTATTAAATACTTTTGTTAACTCTTGGTCTAATTTATGATTATATAATATTGATAATTCTACTAGATTGTTGCACCATTGTGTAATTGATTGAAATAGCTTTCCCAAAAATTCAATATCATTTGGAGTACCATCAAGATCCAGATATTTAATAGTTTTTCCATTGATGCTAATAAAATCAGACAAGACTGATAGAAATGGATAACCATAAATAGATAACTTTGCAGATTCAATGTTTGGAAATGAAATATTTTTCAACCATTTTACTCCACCATAACAAGGATAACATAATGCTAATTTTAAAGCCTTCAAATTCTTAAGTGCTGGTAATAATATATGATCTAAATTGTTTAATCCATTACTTGAATAATAAATTATTGATTGAGAATGTGTAAGAATTGCTTTTTTGAAATTATCTGATAAATTAAAGTTTAAACCAAAATCAATGGTTAATTGCTTTATTTGATTCTGTGCTTTGATTAGTTGAGCCAGGCTATCTTCAAATTTATTATTGCATCTACCATGTATACTTAGTGATTGAATATGTTTGCAAATATTTGCTAATTTATCAATAAATTCATTACAAACAGGATCATGACTACAGCAAACTAATTTAATAAGATTCCAAAAACTATTACCAAATTTACAATAATTTACCAGATAAGAAGCTACATAAAAAGTACTAAATTCTCTAATAACTGCTGAATCTAAAATAAAATTTGCTAATCTATTTTTCAAAATATCTAATTTGGAAGTGTTTGTCAACAACTGAGAACAATGACAAGTAAAATATAATTCAGTACAAAAACTAGCATAATTATATAATGGTGATTTATCCAATAGTTTAAAAGCCAATTTAATTCCATTTCTTGTTAAGAAATCCTTATCTTCTTCCAACAAACAATTAATTATTATTTTGGTACTGTTTTCAGAATAAAATGGATTTTTCCATAAAATTGGAATATTAAGATTGTGCCATTGTTTATTGACAAGAATGCAAGAATATAATGTTTTGTAATCATAGTCATTGTATTTAAATATTTCAGTTAAAAGTTCAAGTGGTAAAGTCATTGGGGTGCGCGACATTCTATCAAAACTAATTAATGTCATATATTGATTGGTTATATGTGGTTTTTTTTTGTGATCTGCATATTACATACAGGATTTCCGAAATTTACGTAAAGAATATTGTTTTCAAAACACAACTCCTCCTCCGTTTTCAAAGATATAGGCATTAAGTTTCCATAAAAGGTAGTATATACATTATACTTTGGAGGCATGAAAAGATTTAATGGATTAAAAATATCAATGGCTAAATAAACCCATTCGAAATACAGAAAATTTATTTTTTTGTTGTAGTACTTCTATCTATTGCAACTTCCGAAAAAATTGTATGAAATAAAGATTTTCTCTCCATAGCACTGTTCTACAAATGTATCCTGATTAAAAACCTCTGATAATTTTATAAATGTAACGATTTTCCAGAAGCCTTAGCGATTGAAAGTTCGTAATACTAATAAAACGCTAATAAAACATGCTGTTTTCAAACCGCTACTCCTCATCCGTTTTCAAATATATGGACATAAAATTAGCGTACAAGATAGTATATTTAATATAGATTAGAGCTATGGAAAGATTTAATGGATGTAAAAATACCAATAGCATAAAAAAGCTCATTTGAAATACGGAAAATTTCTTCTTTATCATAATACTTCTACCTATCACAACTTCCGAAAAAATTGTATGAAATAAAAATTATCTCTCCATAGCACTGTTCTACAAATGTATTTTGATGAAAATCTTATAAATTTAACGATTTTCCAAAAGCCTTAGCGATTGAAAGTTCATAATACTAATAACGTAATAATGTATTTGAAAAAATATTTCGTTACACTGTTTCCTTTTTTAGAGAAAAAATGGGGTACCATAAAAAATCCGCATACGGTGCAGATCATCTATAATAGTAACTAGTTTGGGAAATTTGGGCTTCTTGGCATTTTCTATATATAAACATGAACATTAAAAAAAAACTATACCAATCAACTTATTTTAACTTGAACAACTTTATAAAGTAATTTCACCCAATTTCGGCGGCTAATAACAAAAAATAGTATGGACTTATAAAAAAGTAATTTTTACCCAAAGTATTTTGGCAATTTTGACTACTGATAAAGAGAGTTTTGGCCAGAAACCTTATTGTTGACAAAATGAATCAAACCAACATTTATTTTTTTATGTTATCAAATTCACAATTTCGATTGGTCAATCAACAATTGCATGGGTTAAATTTTGATCTTTTGCATATCCAGATGATGTTCAACATCAATATTTTTATAAATGTGCTATTCTTAAGCATGTAGAGCATTATACTTTAATTCCTATTGCTTCAATGACAAATATAGTGCATATTATACCAAAATTTAGTAAACCAGGAATTTACTTTGTAAATAACTATCAAATATTACTAAATAATTTCTTAATAATTAAATGCTTAATTAATACATATCTTTATATTAATTAATAAATATTAAATTAAAGAATAAATAAATATTTGTTTTAAATACATATAAAATATTAAATACTTGATAATATAAAATTTAACTATTTATCAAATAACTATGCTTAATAAATATAGGGTGAATGTTGGATCAACTTTATGATGAGCTTCACCAACAAATAAATCCCCATTTGTTTGTAGCTGATATTATAAAGTCGGGTTGCTTTGTTCTATCTTCCAACTTTGTGTTTTGTTTTCTTTAAGGCCCATGTTGGGCCATTTAATTCTGTATTCATCAGACTTGTGGGACAATCCTTTGATAATGTAATCTGATTAATGCCCCACTCGGTTGATTTTTTTAATTTTAAATTGGGTAATGTTTTTAACCCTTCTAAAATTATATGATAAATTTATTTCAGAATTAAAGATGGGAACCACAATTCAATTTTCATATGCTGCAATTAGTTGCAACTAATTGAGGAGCCATCTTTATTTGGAATATACCCAGTATTGATTACATTATCATGTAACTCATTATTTATAATTCATGTTCTAGATTTAATTCCTGTTTGTTTTTTGGAGAGAGTTGTTTATATAGTTTTTTGGTGGTGTTTCCATTGTTTAGCATCATTTTCTTCTTCAACAATCTCATTACAATAATGATCACCACCTTCTACATCTGGTCCTTGCTAAATCAAAATGAACAGTTGAAATACATGGGAGAGAAGAACAGAATAAGATTATTAGTATTGGATGCATTTTAATTTACAAATATACATAATTCCAAAGCAACTTGTGAGATTTTATTAAAATACCTCATCATTGTCATTAAACTCATTTTCCTCCATCAAGTCTAGTAAAGGTTCTTGGCAATAAATATGAATTTTCATCAGGCATTCTTAGTTTGTTTCTTTGGTTCTTTTTTTTTTTTTGTATAAATTATTTTGTACAAAAGAAAATTCATTATTAAGAAGGGTAGATTGATCGACCCTAATAATAACAAAAAATTGTTATACAAAATGACTAAAAACAATTTTAAGTTACACGATTTTATCTTGCAATTTAAAAATCTGTTATATGGTTGGCTCGGTCTAAAGACCTCCTATTTCTGCGCCACGTGACCAAATTTCAAAAATAGCAATTTCGAAAATAGGACTTCACGTGATTTTGGGTTTAAAAATTTATTTCGTACTGCCAAATTTAGATATGCTGGTCATGTATTAGTCTAAATTTAGAAATGATTTTCGTAGTTTGGTCTAAATTTAGTAATGATCCTAGCGGCCAAATTTCTCGTGAACATAGTAAAGTACATGTTCTAAAAAAGAATAGAACTCTACAACAAATGATTTTTTTGAGAATATCTCATTATTACATTAAAACTAAAGACCTATTCTATCAACTAATAACGTTATTTTTTTAAAAGATAGGACAGAAAGTGACTTCTATACTGTTAAATTTATGCAAAACTTAGGAGGTCTTTAGACCGAGCCAACTATATTATTATTTAATTTATTATTATTAAAAACATTTATTGAAAAGCTACATCAAATTTCTCAGCATAAACTTTTCCACCGCCACTTGAGAATCCAGTACCTAAAAAAAATAAATAAAATGTCAATTAATTGATTAATAATTATCAAAATAAAAAATATGACTTTCTTTTACCTTCACCAGACATGTCAGTGATATCTTTTTCTTTACATTTAAAATCACAAACAAAGCAACGTTTTGATTTTTTCACAAATTTATCAACGCAAATCTTACAAATAACATGACCACAAGGTTTTATCACTAATAATTATTAATATAAATAGTAAGTGTTTGATCTGGTATTTAAACATAATAAATATTAATATAAATATAAATATTTGAAATAAAAAACTCACAACAAATCTTTAAAGAATTTGTTAATGTTTTACGACATGATGGACAAATATAATGAATCTTTTTTGAATCTGAGTCTTTTGTTTCAGTAAATTTTGTCGCAACCAAATTTTTAATACTATAAAAAAATTTTTATTAATAAAATTGTAAAGCCCATAAAAATAATCAACAAATAAATACCTTAAAGGGTGTTCCGGATTAGTTGCAGTACACATTGTTTGTAATTTTATAGATTTAATTTTATCAGGATCAGCCGATGGTGTTAAAGAAGGCTTTTTTATAAAATCGTAAATAATATAATGATAATAATAATAATAACAACAATAATAATTAATTGATTTCTTAAAAATTAAGAAATATTATAAAAAGGAACCTTACCAGCCAAAAATTAGGTAACTTTGGTTTTGACAATGCAATCTAAAACAAATGACTTGTTAAATAAATAAATATAAATATTATTACAATTAATTATTAATTATTATTATTATTATTTATTTCAAAACCTCTTCTTCCTCTATTTTTTTTAATGCTTCTTCTTTTTCACGTTTTGATACCGCTGCAAGATCTTCTTCATCTAATTGAAAACTTCTTTTTTTACTTGCAACTATAATATTTATACTTGTATTAATATCATATAAATTATATCATAAAAAACATTTTTAAATAAATAAATTCCACCTTTAGATTTATTATCTTCAATCAATTTTATTAATGACGATGGTGATGATGACGATAATGACGATAATGATGATGATGATAAAGATTTGTTTTCAAGAGTTTTCGTGTCTTGTTTAAATTCACTTGGGGTTATTTTTACTTGTTGCCTTTCAAAATCTTGTATGATGGCTTCTTTAGCCAGTCCATCCTTTCGTTTGACTTCTTCGATCTCATCTTTTGCCCTTTCTTCCAATAATTTTTGTTGACGTAGTATTTCTTTTTTTTGTGCCAAAATATTTTCTAATATACATTCTTTACAATATAAATGACCATGTGAACAACAAACAGGATCACGAGCTCTCTGAAGGCATAGATAACAAGCATCAACTTCACGCATTGAATCTCTTCCTAATCGTTGCTAAGAAAAATTAATGGAAATTTATTATGATTATTTAGATTGCAAAATACGCTATTAAAGTATATATATACCTTTTTTGTCCCATATTCTAAGGATTTAGTTTCAGCATATGTGAAAAACGAAAGTGCTGTATTATTTTTGCTATGACGAGGCATTTCTAAAATTTTTTGGGGAATGTAATAGTAATAGTAATAGCTGCAATGGCGATCCTAATTCAAATTTCTATTTTAGTCAAACTTATTAAACACAAAAAAATAATTTATTTCAAATTTTACAAATTTTACGTAAATTTTTTTTTTCAAATTATGGATCATTCTTCTCAAAAACGGCATATTTCAGAGGATCATTTGAACGATGAACAAAATCAACAAACTCTAAATAACTCTGAAACACGTTCTAAAAGGCCCAAGATTACATTACCACCACCAATGAATATTTCACAAACACCACAATTTGAAAACATCGGTTCATGGAATTTACCTCCATTAACATCATTATCTACATTGAATCCTAAAAATCCTATTGTGTTTGATCAATCATCAATACCAACACCACAAAGCAATCAACAAAATCAACAACACCAATCATCTTTATTAAGATATGAATTGCCACCTCTTGAATCCTTAGGAGTATCGAGGTTACAAACAACAGCAACTGTATCATCAGCGATAGCAGCTACTACTATTATACCTTACACTCAAACCTTTTCTCAATCATCCTCATCTAATAATAATGCATCATCATATAATTTGCCATATTCATCATCATCTGTTACTAAACCAAATCCAATGTCTGTATCTGCAATCCTTTCAAATGATGATGATAGTGTTTTTAATTATAACAATAATGCAAAGAAAAATACTAATGATAAAATCTTAAATAATAATAATAATAATAATAATAATAATAATAATAATAATAATAATAATAATAATAATAATAATAATAAT